GAACAGAATCATTGATTCAAATTGCGGATTTTGTGTAATTTTTTGAAGATGCCACTGACAAAAAGGTCACACGCCTTGAAAAATCAATGGGAAGTAATGTTTGTACTGTTAAAATATGGTAAGGATATAACAAAAAATCCACTAAAATTCTCCAAACAATTTGATGGCAAATATTTAAGTGTCTAGCGATCTTCCATGTACTCGTTTCAGGATGTTCTTCGACTTCGTACAACACTGCTCCCTCAATTTCAGGTGTTCTCACACTTAGAGGTCTACCTTCAGACATTCCTTTGCGGACAGAACCAGTTTCAACAAGACGACGATGAATATTAGAAAAGGTTCGACTATCTGGCAAAGCACGATCGGGATATCTCGGGTGGTGAATCCGTCTAGCTTGCTCACCATTACCGTCGGCAAGGCCATATACGTAATGCATTTCCGCCATTTCTGCATTTGAATAATTCACCATTATTAACAAGATTGTAAAAACTAAATAATGAAAAAGATGTCACAGCTAACATATTTGAATAACAGAGACTTGTCAGATGTCAAAAGCCAGTGACATATTCCAGAGCAACTAGATATTTATTGCTAAATTACATTCTTCAATTATTACATTCATTTTCTCGGACAATAGAACGGTTTTTATTTTTTACACAAAAATCGCGCATCGAAAGAAAGCAACTCAGGATAGATCATTTGTTTTAAACTGAACGGAGAATTCAAAAATGATTTTATTTGGCAAAAAACCATTGGCGTGCCATTTATTCTTAAAAAATATCAAAGTCACTACTAGTACTCACGCCACCGTTAAAGCTAAAAATTATTTTTGCATTGAAAAATATGCAGCTTTATTAACTTTCACTGCGTACTAAATATCAGTGAAATATATTAAGTGATTCAGAAAATATTAAATAATTTCCATTTTTTTCCTAAAACCTCAACACCCAGAGTTTATGTAAGGAAACATTTTTGGTCCATAGTTTATGAATCAAACTAACTTTAATTTTTCATGTAGATTCACACCTTTAAATATTCGCATATCATTAAGGACCACCTTGTATATGCTTAGCGTCTTCAACTGATCCAGTCTCTCTGAATTTTTCAATTAATCCTTTCACAGTTGACTGCCATATTTTGTATAAAATTTTCGAACTGCGGACGCTAAACTGTCATTATTTTTGAACTACTGTTCAATAATGAAAACACGTTGTTGTATCGTATAACGCTCCAGTTTAACTAACCCTAACCTCTCAGCTGTCAAATTGCTTTTTTTTTCAGGGCTGCCTTAAATTTACTGCAAACATGGCGGCAAATTCAAATCTTGCGCTGATTATGGGACAGTCTTTACATTCACGAATTAATAAAAGTGGCGCTGCTATCTGCCTTGCTGTCAGTCGTTAGAATGCCAGTCACTCCATCTAAAAAAAAATTAAATTTGCAGTAATGGGAACTAAAAGATCACAGGCTGTAGATTTTTACGATTGTTTTAAACCTATCATTAGAAAAGTAGATGACTTAGAGTCTTCTTATATTTTTCTGATAACAATTTTGACTTGGCTTATCACCCGCTTCCGTCTTGACGTCGACTTCTACGACACCCAGTATATTATAGACATCGGCGTTGCGAAAGGGCATCAACGTTAACATTGAGCTTTTATATAGACAGTTGTCAATTGATTTTGACTTATTGCATTTCTCTTCTTGTTTCACTGAGCACTCAAACGCAATCTAAGGTTTGTTAACAGAACTGTATATGCACGGTGTTAATTAAGAATGTACCATAAACTTAACAGAGGATTCTTTGAGTAATTCTGACATTTCATCCCTCTCAGCGTGCTCCTTTGTAATTCTCTGTACCACCTGAATATAGTCTACGATGAGGACCATCACTTTTTAATGCAAGCGTAATTTTTTCTAAGCACTGATATATGCTTAAACCACGCATGCTGCTATAGTCTGCACTTTCCACTGTCAATACGAATGAGCAACTAAAACAACAGACGTGCTGCTGGCAGCTACTATGCACTTATGGACATGTTTCAAAATGCCGGCTCCTGCGTCCGTTTGTTAAGTCATATTGCAAATCTTTTATTTATTACCTCCTTTATTCAGAAAAATGTCCCACTACTTCCAATACCAGGTATTCCGGCATTGTTTTTGTTTGGATGGAGAGAAGTTTTGTATTGCTCACCTTTCAAAATCGCGATTTAAGCTAAATTTCTCATGTGCTGTACTGGTAATAAATACTTACCTCGTTTTTGCCTTATTTAATGTGGGTATCCCTGTTTATACTGCGTGACAAACATAAGTTTTCAGCTTGATTCGTCAACTGACTGCAGAAGCTGGTTGAATAATGTGTTGAAAATACACGAATTCTTATACACTCATTGACACGCGTGGGCTGATAAGGTGGTCGATATTCTGTTAGGGTATCTCATTCCAGGCTACTGCAACTTCGTGAGTAAGAGCTGCGAAAGTCTGTGCACGGTGTTGCAAATTCAGGAGCTTGCGACCTATCATGTTCCACACTTGTTCAATTGGAGATAGGTCAGGCTATCGTGGTGGCCAAGGTAAGCGGTTGATGCGATGTTAATCCATGAAGGCTGACCATGCTCTGACAATATGCGGTCTGGCATTGTCTTGTTGAAAAATTGGGTTTTGTATGGTGTTTAGGTCCATACCTTAGTCCATAATAAGAAGGCTCCACTCCTTCCTGAATATAAAGTCGGGCTGTCTTATTACCTCTGATCAAAATTAGTGGTGATCTGTTACTTTAAGCAATAGCGCCCCATACCATAATTCCCACGGTGTGGTGAACGAGACACTCTCTGTCAAAACTGAATGCTTCTTTATCACCAAAGAATACACGCAGCCACCACAAAAACTTAACAGCAAAACCTGACCATTTTATCACTTGTTGTTCATGTTGTTTGCCTTGCTCTACGTGATTACCTCCAGTACGAATAGCTACTTGAATATATGAAGGTTGAGTAAAGTAGATTTTTTCTAGACTCCGCCTTTTAAGGAGCGTTAAATAAAGATCTAAGGTATCACTTAATAAAGACCCATCATATCCTTGGTAGAGAAAAAATGTACGCCGATGTATTGGTTTGTCGCCTTGGTAGGCAATGGTAGTCAAACTAGCCGTAATTAATCGATCACACGAACTTACCTTGAGTGAAGTTCGATCGTAATTATACGAGGGTCCAGTCCGAAGATATCACTTTGTTTATTTACTATGTAGTCCGGCCCTGGAGTACTAGCCGCACACCAAGTTAAAAGACAAGATATCCCCGCTCCCGTCCCGTCGCACCCCGGTCTTGCACGATGAGTCATTTGTTAAAAGAAATGGTACTTGCTCGCAACTTGGGAGGGTTGAAAAAAGGGGTGGGAGTGATGTCTTCGGACTGGACCCTGGTATAATTACGATCGAACTTCACTTAAGGTAAGTTCGTTTGATCGATTAATTATACTTTAGGTCCAGTCCGAAGACATCACTTTGTTTATTTACTATGTAGATGTTTAAAGATAGAACACAGTTGCGAGCGATCTGATGGTGTTATAAAGTGGAATCAAAGTGTTCAGAACCCATATAACATATTTAGTATTCCTATGTAACAAACATAAAATAAATTCTCAAATTGTAACCTAGCGATAACGTTGATTTGAGAAACAACTGAAACACAGGAAACATGTAACAAACTTTTAAGAGTATTACATATAGAACTTAACTAATCAGACCAATTTTATATTTAGGATTGCATTTGTAAACTCATGGTTTGGTTGTAGAGGACGATTATAAAATCTTGCAAACGTGGAACGTTGCGTCCAACCAACTGTTTTAAATATATTATCTATGGAAACGCCTTTTCTTAACGCCGCAGAAGTCGCCGCATGCCTTACTGAATGAGGCGTAAAAAGTGTTGTGTCTACTCCTGCAGAGGCAAGGGTCTGTTTTACCCATCTGCTTAAAGTGTCTTTAGACGCCCTGCCATGGGGTTTTTTCCATGTCACAAATAGGAAATCGTTATTGGGTTCTCTTAAAGAAGCCGTTCTATCAATGTATTCTTTCAGGATTGTGGCCACGCAAAGAAAGGGGTTTTGTTGAAAAATCGGGATGTGCAGAGTGGGTTGAGGTTTTTCAACTCTACTGGTTTTAATTGGATCCGATATATTAATAGTTGATTCACTGTGACCATGGATTATATAACGTCGTTAATTTCTGTGACAGAGTTTGAAGACTAAGCCGTAACTTCTCTAAATAATTTAGAAGGGGTATTGCGTAAACATAAAATCTATTCCAGGGAATCGTAAACGCGTCAATATATGCAGATCCTGGATCTCTATGCCAGGAGACATATAACTTGCATTTAGCATTTGTATGGGAAGCAAAAAGATCAATTTCTAGGTTTCCGAAAACGGTGGTTAAACGGTCGAAGGCGGTTTGACATAACGACCATTCCATTTCAAAATTCGAACTCCTATAGCATTATCCTTCGAAGGGATGTATGAAGCGAAGAGCCAGAGGTTTCTTTGGTCACACCATTGCCAAATTTGTTTTGACAACGAATAGAGGTCTGGGAATTGAACACTCCCCATTATGTTGATGTATGAAACAGCTGTCGTGTTGTCACATCTAATTAGAATATTGCAGTTTTTCAAATTTTTGGCATAGCACTGAATCCCGTACAAATAGCCCATAACTCCAAATTATTTATATGTAACCGTTTTTGAGAGTCACACCAGAATCCATGGGTTGTGTCATGGCCACAACAAGCACCCCATCCTGTAATTGATGCGTCGGTAAAAATTGTTATATGAAAGTAATCACACCTGATGTCGTTGAAGGCTTTTGAAATATGATTTGTCCACCAAAAAATATCTGGCTTTATGCTTTCAGGCATAGGCATACCTGCATTATAATTTCCATTATTTCTTTCTAAAGCTAGAAATGTTTCTCTTTCTAGTGTATCGCAATAAAGAAACCTGTTTTTTTTTACCACGAAGGCCTAAGGCTTAAACACCCATTGGGTACCGTGGGGCTATAGGAGGATACTGGGGAAAGGGGGAACGCGAGGGAACACGTGTGCATGCAACATGCACACATTCTGGCTCCGCCTACGAGATCCGCCGGGTGGTACCTCCACGTTCGACAGTCAGAGACCGTCTACCACCTACGGACAATCACAACATCTATAACCAAGAGAAAAATTTCTCCTGGGACGGGACTCGAACCCGCACAGCACACGGCGACTGATCAGGAGACCGAAGAGTCTACTACTGCGGCCACCGCTGCTGCCTGTATTTTACCCGTATTTTACACCGAGACAGGCAGACACTAAAACACCAATAAACCTTGTCCAGTCACGAATTTTACATGTCTGTCGATTCATATAATATGAGGCTAACCTGACTATGTGATTTTTCTTTTCGTCAGGAAGTTCTATTTTTAAATGGACACTATCTATCATAAAGCCTAGAAATTTTATGTAAGTGGTAGGTACTAGGATGCTTTTGTTTTTACTGAGTATAAGACCTAACGATTTTAAAAGACAAATGGTTGTGTTGACATGTTTGAGACAGGTTTCATGGGAATCTCCGAATATTAGGAAATCGTCTAGGTAATTAACTGTAGAGATGCCTAAAGTGCGGAGAAAAGAGACGACTGGCTTCATGAGTTTTGAGAAGCATAACGGAGCTGTACATAACCCGAACGGTAAGCAGGTAAATTGGTACCATTGACCTTCAAATTGCAATTTAAGGAATGGTTGATGGTCATGAACTGGTACCAAAAAGTATGCATCTTTCAAGTCAATTGTGCACATATACACGTTTTTGTGAGTCAATTTAATAGCCGTTCGTAGGTCCTCCATTTTAAAATGCGGACATTCCACATATTCATTTAATTGTTTTAGATTTAAAATAAACCTTTTTCCACCGCTGGATTTATCTGCTAGGAAACATGGAGAGATAAATTGTTCGGCCCTTGACTCAGATTTGAGTATAGCTCCGGACCTTAACAAATCGTTTATAGCTAATCTTACTAGCGATGTTTCTGTAGGGGAAAATTATTTTTAACCAAGTGGTGGCATGATGGAGTTTTATCTTTAAAGGGAATCCTATAACCTTGAATCCAGGATAAGACTGTCAAATTTGAGGTTAGTTTGGACCAAGAGTCCAAATAAAACTGTAAACGGCCAGCAAACGGAACTTGTTTTATCTTCAGCGTTTCCTGGTTTGCTGATGTCTGTTCCGAGGAAACTGTCACGAGGAATGGCCCTTGTATTGCCTCACCTCCCTCTTGCGGTAAGACGGGCGATACCTGTTTAAAGGTCCTGCATTCTTGGACGAGCTGCCCCCCCCCCCTCTTCTTTCAGAATGATTGAAGGCCCGCGCTGATTGCTAGTGCGTGAGGGGATAGAAGGCAAACGTAAGTCCTGTCCTGCCTTTTCCAAAGATTTCAAATTTGTTGCTCGTCCACCTAAATCTGGCCCAAACAAAAATTCACCAGGTATGGTATTTTCAGTCAGTTCTTTAACTGATTTGTTAAGTACTGGGCTAATTAAATATTTCCTTGTTTTCGAAATATCGTGGAAAAGAGCCGCCAATATTCGTGCAGAATCTGTCAAATTTGATAAGACTTTTTCCCTGATGTCTTTAGGGATGCTGGATTCGTCTTCCAAGATAACGTTGAGTGCGTTTACCAGGGCGGTTAGTCCGTTACCAATGTGCAATTGGTACCCGGAGTGAATGAAATCCCTAGTTAAATGTGTGGATGAAAGAATAGCTTTCACTTCGGAATTTACTTTTGGAGGACGTAATAAAGCGCAATTAGATGGTACATTTTGTTTTTCGCTAAGGATAGAAATATCTTCGGCGGATAGCCCGTTTGCCAAAATATGGGACTACCTGGAGGCTAGGGCACCGTGAAGTTTAAAACTAGACGTATTAGCCTTTTCAGGATCGGCACCCAGAATATTTAATGTGTCCTCTGATAATGGCATACAATCGGCATCGTCAAGTATCAAAACATCGTCCATACTGTTTTGCGTTGTTGGCGCCGCTCCCAAATCGGGCTCTGTCAGTACCTGAGCTTCCGGCCCGCACGGGAAACGACCAGCCAGGCCTACCTGACGCTGTGCATTCTCAGCTGGGCTGGATGAATTCTGGTTTTTTCGCACATATTCCCGTCTCTCTCTACGTCGCCTCGACACGCTCGGTGATCGACTACGACTGATGCTACTCCGCGAACGGGACCTTGAACGTCTACGGCTCAGCCGAGAACGAGAACGCCTAAAATAATGGGGCGAATCGGCACGAGACCTCGACCTGCTGTTTCTACCCTCAAGGTCCTGGTGTAAAATTTCCCTGATGAGACTTCTCAAAGAACTGGGAGAATTAACCTCCAAATCCCCGTCCCTGCCGCCAGGTTTTCCTTCCATGGTTTTCTGCTAAGTATATATTATATATAACGTGCTACTAGATGAGCAACAAAACAACCCATTGTTGTACATACTGACCAACCTACTCACCAAGCACTAAACCGATTTAAAAAGGAATCGCGTATTTTAAGTGTTTCCTAACACACAAACAAGCCGGGCGACCGTACGGCTGTAACACCAAAAACCGAATGACTCAACGTGCAAGACCGTGGCGCGACGGGACGGGAGCGGGGATCTCTTGTCTTTTAACTTGGTGTGCGGCTAGTACTCCAGGGCCGGACTACATAGTAAATAAACAAAGTGATGTCTTCGGACTGGACCTAAAGTATAATTACTAACTAAAACTAAACAATTTTGGCGTCAAACAATACAGCGTAAGCATATTATATGCTCGGCCCCTTCTGATTTATTCGCATGCCTTGGATCCAACATATTGAATCATAGGGATGTTAAGGAGCTTGGGCCCAAAAACATCCGTAAGACGAGAAAGAAAGCATTGAACAATAAAGAAACAATTGTAAGTAACTGCTATTTATTATTACATGTAATTCTAAATAAGGTACAAAAATAAAATACTATGTATTACTTTACAATTTACAATTATACAACCTTTGCGCATGAGTATATACACTTTCAGATCGAAGTAACGAACCCTGGCCCAAAATACATGGCATACATATTTCACTTAATTTCTCTTAATGGTAACTTACGATAAACTTCACAAATGATACGCCTTGATGATATATTATAGTATATCTCTCTGATCAGACAGTTCTGTCGTCAATGACGTGCATTTTTTCTTATCTTAAAAAATTCGTTAAACGACAAAAAATGCAAGCATGTCATATTTTAGGATAGACATTTTTAGCAGTAGTTGCAACGAATTGATAAGGAATATCAGCATAATTTAGCATAACACATCATAATGCGAATATATTTTTTATCCTTTATTTGAATGTTTTCCCTAAGCAGATATGGGTACTTTTCTATCACAAAATTTGTAGAAGTTGTGGCGAATAAAAGATCAAGGGATATCCAAATATGTGTGAGTGATTGTTGCATTTAATCATTATGGAAAACAACTATTGAATAGAGATACAATTTGATGAGCTTCTAAACATGCAATTTAACCATAATTTTAAACTAAACATATGAGATAAAATGTACAGTAAATGTCTGGGACCTAGCACAATTTGTTTGTTAAATATAAGCTACGATGCATCACAAGGCCTAAAATACACGTTTTAATATCTTGATAAAAGCCTCTGCGTCATACTATCTTTAACTATATCAACTTATATTTCTTCAAATACATTTCTTTAAATGTTGTTTCTTTTTAGGAGATTTTGTCTTGTTTTTTCATCTTTTCGCTTTTACCCGAATCTCTTTGCATTTTGCAAAAACGAAAAACGGTCACTTACTATTATACTATTTACTGTAAAAATAGAATGAATACCAACTAGAGAAGAAGAAATTAATGGCCAAAATCTTTCGAACAAGACGAAAATTCTCTAGCATTAACCAACTGGCCAGTTATATCCAAATGTTCTATCACTAATTTCTGTACAATCAGTTATAGATTCACTTGTAAATTAGATCATTGTTAATATCGTCCAAGGTATGAAAATGCGTAGGTACTCTGATGATCCTGAGGTTGATTTCGTTGGATGACGCTGTCCTCAAAAAGAACCTCTGGAACCTGGTGCTTAGGCACCATACGCTTCCATCGGGTTGCCATCGCATATCTGTCAGGAATTGGAGTCTTTCTGAGTCGTACGCCAACAAACTGGAAAAGAAATGATAATTATGCCATTTTGGTGCAATGAACTATGGTGCAAGTATGAAGAACATGATCACATGAAGACGTCAAAGTAATTGGAGAAGTAGTCGATATAGCAATGAAAGTTTAATCCGTAATCGGTGGAATGTAAAACAAAAAAGTTGCAGAAATAAATACAGAATTATTTAAATACACGGGTACTCTACACTTAGATCTTTTCATATATGCGGGCAGACATGCGATATACCGGATTCATGAAAAAGGACCAAACTTATCATCTCCTTATTCACAAAAAGTGACAGGTAACAGAAACACACTTACAAGAACAGTAAATCGATTTTCACAAAAGACACACATGCAGTGAAAATATCTTTATAGCTAAGCGACTCTTAGAAAAAGTTAGAGAATCTCACAGAGCCTTCATCGATTTCGAGAAAGCTTTTGACCAAGATGACTGAGAAAACTGCGGAAAATAATGGCTGACAGTGGTTTTCCCAGACATTTCATTTAGGCGATAAAAAGCTTTTATTATCAGACAAGAATAGTAGTGAATATATGGGAAAGAGTGATAGATGATATAAGAATTAACCAGGGAGTAAGACAAGAACGCAGCCTCTCGTCTACTCTATTAAAAGAAATATTGACGATGCCCTAAAAAACTGGAGACCCACTGAATACAAAGATACACAACTAAATGGACGTACTTAATGCCCTACTATTCGCAGACAAGAAAAATAATAGTATAAGAACTCCAGTTAACAGTACATAAGCTAAATCTACTGCTTACAAATATATTCACAAAGTAATGGCCTTCAAGAGTAAATATGCCATACATTCAGAAGCAGAAATTGATGATAAAACACATTTTAACTATGTAGACTATGAGTGTAACAATGTCATAGATGAAAAGGTACAAAAGCTTCAGGCAGTTTGTGAAATAGCAAATAGACCACTAAATTACAAAATCCTTGAAGATACGAAAGATCAAATTCTATAAGACCTGTACTAATGCATGGGTACGAAAGCTGGATGAGTAATAAAAATATCAGAGTTAGATATAGGCAGTAGAATTGAGATTATTTAGAAAAGCTTAAAGCTGCACAAGAAAAGGTCAACTGGGACACTCAGTGAATTGAATATACAGGGTGATTCACATGTCGCGACCAAAAATTAAACATTATACACAGGATCTTATTTTAAGGGAGGTCTTCTGTGTAACATTTTTCCTCAAGGGCTTCATTAAAAAGATACGGGGTTTTGAAGTTTAAGTATAATTTTTTTAATATCTTCAAAACCGTCAACTGAAATGAACTAAAATTTGTGGATGAATAAAGTGGATTTACCTTGGTATTGTCCACATTCAAAAGTCTTTACTTAAAATTAACGTACACCAGTGACGGAGATACAGGGGATTAGTGGAATTATTTTTCCAGATAAAAATAGAACAGCAGTTTTTTTTTTCGAAACGGGCAATTTGGCGAATTTTACCTTCAGTTTGCTAAAAATAATTACTTTGTTTGTTTTTTCCCTAGTGTGCACTGTTTTTGTAAGAATAAAAATGAAACAAATTAAATTGTTCATCAAAGATGCAATTAGTTTCAAAATAAAATAGGAGGCCGTGATACCAACTTGACGTTTCTTGGGAGATTGTTATCGCTACTACTACCATTTTTCATCAATCAGGCTGTCAGAAAAACCGCAGTACAACTACAGCCTTGTCTTATCTCACTGATAGCATCATATCTTCCATCGACAGTAAAAACATGAGCTTGCTGGTACTGTTAGACTCTTTCAAGGCCTTCGATACGCTAAGCCATCGACTACTTATTGCCAAGTGCCACTAGTATGACTTCGACGAAGTTGCCTGCAACTTTATTAGGTAATATTTAAGGGAAATGAGGATTAATAATCAAATTTCGACATCAAAATAAATTCAGTCAGGTGTTCCTCAAGCCTCAGTACTGGGACCATTGATGTGTTTACTTTACACTGCAGATTTACATAATAACTTCAAGAATACACATGCTCAATTTTTTGCTGATGATACGCAGATGAAGTGTGACTACTGAGTAAGTTATCCCATCATGGAATGTCAGATATAGTTCTAAGGTACTTTGAGTCATACTTGCTAAATCGTCAACAAACAGTGAGAACTGATCAGGGAATTTCCTCCTCTGAGCCAGTTCCTATAGGAGTTCCACAGGGTTCTGTATTAGGTCGCTTACTATATCTGATTTATACGATCGATCTGCAAGACTGTTTAGTCCATTGTTGTATGCAAACTTATGCAGATGATACTCAGTTAGTGTTTGGTTTCGTTCCATCAAAGGTTGATGAAGTATCTTTTAAAGTTAATTTAGATTTGGCTAACATCAGTGATTACTGTAACAAACACTGCTTGAAGATCAATACTAATAAAACTACTGCAATGTTGTACTGTTCGAAGAACTCCTACCGTGAAATGAAGCAGAGGATTTGTGTTGTTTTGGATGAGACACTCATCCCTTTTGTGGATTACGCCAAGAATCTCAGTGTTACCCTTGACTTAAATATGAGATTCGGCATGTCTCTTTCTTGTCTAGAGTAACGTACTATATATGCGTTTGAAACTCCTTTATTCTAATCGATTCATCCTGAATTTTAAAACCCGAAAAAAGCTCGCCGAAAGTCTTGTGTCGTCTGTCATTTCTTACTCTCTTGTTCTTTATTACCCCTGTTTAGACTACGTCCACAAAAGGAAACTCCAGAAAATTCAGAACAGCTGTTGTAGGTTTATTTTTGGATTGTGCAAGTTTAGTCGCGTCTCAGATAAAATCAAAGAACTCATGCGAATTGATAAGTTATTTTCATATCTTTTGACCGTCTTCACGCATAAAGTTTTATTATCTAATAGACCAGCTTACCCTGCTAGCAAATTAGTTCCCCGTGGTAGATTTGTTACCAGACCTCTTAGATTTAATGCTAATTTTAACATGCCTCCTCACAATACCTCGGTCTTTGAAAGAGGTTACACCTATAATACTGTCAAGCATTACAGTGCAGTCAATAGTGGCTTTCGATGCAAACAGGTCGCTTCTTTTAAGAAATTAATGAAAAGACAGCTGCTGGAGTCCATTTAGTTCAGTTTCTTCTTGTGTTCATGTGCTTTTTTTTAACTATTTTCTACTAATTTTGTTTCAAATTTAAAACTTTCACAATACTATCTGCATTTGTCTCGTGCAGTCAATGTTGTCATGCTTATGAACTGTATTTTTTTTGTATGTTGTTATTTTGTTTAAGTGTTTAAGTATTCTTTTTTTTTCTGTTGTGGGGTTGAGTGTAAGAGTAGCCGTCTGGTTAAACTTCGCCTTACTGCAGCTAATAAAGGCATTATTATTATTATTATTATTATTATATTTCAATGCCGACAATGTCCACGAATCCATGATGCTAGTAAATTGCGATCTTGATAGTATTAATAGGTACTGTAGCTCTCACAACTAAATCCCTCAAAATGTCTATGCTATATTATTTGGCAACAAAAGATTATGTGAAAACCTTAAATCATTAATTCACATCAAAGTTAATGGGGAGGAGATTCTTTTCTCTGAAAGTAAGTCAAAAGTTAATTTTGTCCATTTTTGAGTGTTGTGAAAAGGAATTTAGCAATGATGAGTACGCCGATATTATTTTTGTGTAGGGGCTCTGTAATGTACATGCTTTAGTGGCTTCTCGGGAATATCAACGTAGATGTCCCAACAGACGCCAACCTACCCCAAAGGCTGTTCATTTCTAAGACTTCGGCAATATGGAATTGCCAAACTTCTCGCAATGCTGGAGTCCGGCATGCTGTTCAAGAGGAACAGGAAATAATTAATTTGGCGTTGAATGATTCTAGTACAAGTACTAGGCGGGTTGCAGCCCAGTTACCATGTTCTCAAAGTCTTTTTAGATCGGGATGTTTTACGTCCTTACCATCGGTAAAATGCAAAATGTTTAGTGGTTACTGCAAATGCATAATCAAAATGCAGATTTTATTGCTTTGGTCTTATGTCAGATGAATCGCTTTTTACGAGGAGTGGAACCTTTAATTCTCATAATGAACATAATTTGGTCCTTAGAAAATTCCCGTTCTGTAAAAATCAACTCGTTTCAACACAGATTTTCTAAAAATGTCTGGTGCGGCATTTTCAATGGCCAACTATTTATGCCCGTATTGCCACAACGTTTAAGTGCAAACTCATACTTAGATTTTCTAGAGAATCACATAGAAAATGTGTTAGATGATGTTTCGTTAGCAACGAGAGTACCGAATGTGGTATCAGTACGACGGTACCGCACCGCATGTTCGTCGTGACAAAATCGCATGGTTAAACAATCATTTTAAACAACGATGGATTGGCAGAAACAGACCCGTACATTGGCCTGCTAGGTCTCCTGATTTGAACCCCATGGAATGTCTTTAGTGGGGCGCTTTTAAACAACTAGTGTCTGCTGAACAAGTTAATGGTCCTGATCAGAAATAAAAAAATAGATAATGAGTTTCATAGAATTCAAGCCACATCAGGATGGTCTTTTTGAACATGTATTGAAATAAAGCTTTGGTTTTCTAATTTGTTTTTTTATTTTTACGACAACAATGCACTCTAGGAAAAAACACAAGAGTAATTATCTGTAGCAAATTGAAGGTAAAATTGGAAAAATTGCGCGTTTCGAAAAAAAAAACACTGGCGTACTATTTTTATTTTGGAAAAATAATGCCACTAATCCCCTGTGTCTCCGCTACTGGTGCACGTTAATTTTAAGTAAAGACTTTTTGAATGTGGACAATAATTAGCACACCAAATTTAGTTCATTTCAGTTGACGGCATTGAAGATATTAAAAAAATTGTCTTTTATTTTTAAACTTCAACACCCCATACCTATTTACACCCTAAGTAATGAAATAAAAAATACAGAGAAAAGTGGAGGTAACAGATGTCAGATGAAAGCCTGCCCAAGGAAATATTTCGCTATAACCCAAAAGGGAAAGGTATTGAGGCAGGCGAAGAAAATATGGTATTATCAACTTTATGAAATCGGAACAGGCAAGAAGAGAAGAAGAAGATGTTTTGATGGAGAGAGCAATTTGCAATGCTGATATCGAAAATGGCCATAAAGAAATTCTAAAGTGACGGGAAGCGCTGTTTCAATTAGAAAAATCCAAATTACCCAAAAATGTGTCCTTTCTGTATTAACGGTATGTAAGAGTTTTCGAAAATTATCTTTAATAGCTTGCCGTGGTTACAGATACACGAAACCAGGTATATATAAATGAGTAATTTAGAATTCTGATTCCAAATATAGTGATAAAATCATACAGATTATTCACTGGCTTAGAACCGGAGGTACACGAAAGTTAAGGGCAAGAAGGTCCAAGTATTTGTAAAACATATAATATATGATTTTCCGAGAAAAATTAAACTTGTTGAACGGTCCCGAAGGGCTATGAAGGGACTATTTTGTAATTCGAAGAGATAATCGGCGAACGAAGAATGATGTTCGTGTACAAAGATGTTGTGCTATACTTACTGTTGCTGATTACTCAACGGATTCCACGAAGCAACTGACGTTTCTTGCAACGGGCTGAAATATAGAGTGTTGTCGAACGGAGAACAGGTAAGGGCGATTCCCTGAGATGATTTTCTTCCTACTAGTGAAATTGGCAAGCTCTCGAACTCTGCTGGTGGCCCCTTGGTGAGGCTGGATGTAGGAATGCTGTATATCCTAGAATAGGAAAGAAATCTACTGAATTTTAACTACAAGATGTGCAGGAATAAATTTCCCTTTCCAAGCTCAAATAACTTGGCAACAGTGTAACTTACCGCGGTCGGCGAAGCGTCCTTCAATAGTGCATCGATGCATATTATTTAGTAAAAATGGAGCGTTGGTGTGGTGCGCATTATTGATTTCAAGAACAATGAATCATACAAAATTGCAAGATGAAGGGTTTGTGCTCATTTCTATATTAGGCGTGTGGAGGACGCACCAAGTAAAAATTTAGTGAAATCGCGGGTGAAGAGGCTTAGAGAAACATCGCCCTGGTCGCCCAAGGACTGTAACTACTCCTCAGAATGTTGAAGCTGTAAAACATCACAGGTGGTGGGATTGCTTAAATTCTTTTCATACAATTTTAAGGAGAGATTTGAAGTTTCATCACTACTAGATCCAAATAGTGCAAAAACTAAACCCAAGTGACTTTTTTGCAAACGACCAAATTAACAACATTCTGCTCAGTGACGAGGTGCACTTTCACCTTTCAGGCGCAGTTATTAAGCCAATTTGTCCCTATTGCAAAAACACGAAAGGCCCAAAAGTAACTGTGTGGTGTGCAATGTCGGTTTCAGGAATTATCGGTCAGTTATTTTTTAAGAACCAACGTGGCATAGCCCAGACTGCAACTAGTGATCGTAGATCATTATTGGTCAATGCTTCGGAGGTTTTTGGTACCTGAACTAAAATAATTTGATGGCTTTGATCAAGAAACATGGTTTCAACAAAACGCATCTACCGCACAAACAGCCCGAGCATCTATGGAAGTCGTTCGAGAATTATTCCCGGAAAAGATCGGAGACCTTGGAGACCTAAACTGGCCAGTTAGGTGTCCAGATCTCACCCCATTGGACTTTTTTCTGTTAATCGGCCTAGGACTTTGCAGGAATTAAAACAAAAAAGTTGGGAAGAAATTACGGCAATGACACCTGAATTATGTTTAGCAGTTTTTAGCCCCATGAAGACGGCATTGCAGGAGCGTTTCGACCGAAATAGAAGACACCTCGACAATATAATTATTAAAACATGAAATCCGCCTATACTGTATGCACCTGTGCTTCAATAAAATAGTTTTAAAGCTTCAAGACAATTTTTGATCAGCTTTTAAAAATTTCAACTCTGAGCTTTAAATACGCGTCACGAATCAACGTTCTAATGGTCGGATATGATAACCCTTAGCTGGTCATGTAGTATAATTAATATTACTGGAGAAAAATAATTGTATGATTTTTTTTTTAGATAATTGTGAACATTTTTCGTACATCCTGCTATTATTTGCTTGAGGAAAATTTCCTAAAAATAGATGAGATTCTTCATTCCACAAAATACCCTCATATTCGCAGAAGACTGGTGAACGTGCATTCGCTATTTTACACCTGAATAACTACAGCCTTAAATTTGTCACCCCATGTGATTTTTTATATTCAATAAAGTACATTGCACTGGTAGTCACTTTTATAACATCGCCGAGGAGTCGGTGACCTTTGCTTAGCTGCTTAGGTAAATTTGTCGCGTGAGTGCGTGAGCAGGAAGCGGCTAGTGCACTTTTTATATAAAATATTTCAATCTTTTGAAGTCTAATGACAAATATATGGGGTAATGTATGTGTCCGAAATATACCTAATAAGCGCGTAAAATTACAGCCGTTGAAAGATTAAAAACATGCTGCTGCCAAAATATTGCGATACACCCACCTCTATTGCCCCACCCCCATTTTTCCGATCTACATTTTTTTTCTAAAATGATCTGGATCCTTTAAAACGCCAAAAACAAAGTTATAGCGGTTTTTTTTGTTTTCGCGATTACAATAAACAAAAGAGAATTGATCTTTACGAATCTACAGGTGATTTTTGATTAAACAGTCTTTAAGGTATTCGAATCAGCGCTTTACAGCGACGACGTATCGAAATATGTCAAAATATCAAGTATTACTGACGATGTAAGCCCAAAGAAGTCATAAGGCATCTATCTATATTGCCGAACTATTTCAATAAATAAACTAAAAGGTGGACAAAATAATTACCTATCTGTAGCTAGTGGCTGGTAGTAGACAGTGGCTAGCCTAGGTGAATGCGTTATTCCCACAACACCATCCATCAAAGTGAAAGTTTCGCCGTTAATATTGTAATCTGAATGATCAGGATCGGGAAACATTGTGGGGTGGCTCAACCTCCAAGCTTGATCTTTGAGTCCATCGTACACAACCAAACCTTAAACAAGATATATCAGTAATAATTAATCTAGCCTTAGGATATCAAAAAATAAACTTCGAATATTTAAGTTGTGTCCTCAAGATATGTATGTATTCGACATAACCGACATTGTTCTATGTTTTGATTGAACAGATTGTGTTCATAAGCATGTCATTTTTCTCATTATAAAAAGTTACTTTGCTGATCATATTAAGGTTTCACTAATCCAACTCTTTTTAATGAAAATTTTTAAAGAAATTGCATCATACTTTTTACCATCCGACTGTCTATTGCCTTTTGAACATCCTTATGCTCAGTTTTTAGATATTCTTCCGTATCCCTGGCAAAAACATTTTGTGCTAGGATCAACGTTTTTAAAATATCGCTTGCTTGTTTTATGATGTTTTATAACTTTTTGATCTCTTTCGGCATATTCAAAAAATCTTGGAGGTCAATATATTCCGAATTCAGGTAGTTACATCACTATCACTCATGAGATGTTAAATTTTTCACTCTAAAATTGATTTATCGATGCTAAATCAACCTATTTGTGGTCGGGGAGTCCAATAGGGGATTTTGACATTTGCTCGAGGGATACTTTGCATCCTGTTAAGTATCTCTACCGTGTACAAGCTCTATATACAGGGGAGTACATCTAAGGCAGCTGATCGGAATAGTAAAAAATATCGATTGTTAAACGTGAAAAATACTCGTGCGGGTGAGACGAGGGATCACAAACTTGCAAAAACATATATAACGGATGAACTCAATGGCAGTCAACTTGTAGGATTTTAATACCGTTGCATTTGACAGTTCCGAAAAATTATATTTCTAATTTTAAGGGTATAGTTACGCCCCCTGTCGACCCTTTTGGAAGCTGAAAGTAATTTCCAGCAAATACTTTTGTTTTAAAATTTTTTAACCTGTGGCTCTACGTTGACTGATAGTCGAGATACAGCTGACGTCTTTTTATTTCATTAATGGCCCATCCAGTACAAGCCGACAGATTATCATGCCTCCAATTTCAATCGTGGAGCATATAAGGCACTGCTTTCGTTCAGTCAAAATGTCGAAGTAATTTCGCAGTTCTGGAAGCATCAAATTACCAGTTCAAAACTTCCCACTAATGGACAAGTACTAGCCGCTTTGTTCTACAATATCCGGGAAGTGAAATTAAGTGTCAATAAAAGCGGAAACCTTTGGGAAATCAATATTTCGGTTAATCACTGCTGATGAAGAACGAAAACAATTTTTATTACATTGCGTACAAGACCACTGGCTGTAAAAAGGAAACTTTGAACAGAAAATTTAGAAAATAATGTTATTTTAATTATAGATATCTAAGAAATATAAGAAACAAATAAAGCAGTTTTATTTGTCGAATAAGAATTAGGTTTTTAGGTTTTGAAATTCATACATGGTTTCGCTATTAACTTTTAAATTCAAAGTTTGATCGAAAGTCAGCACGGGGTATCGTTCCTCGGTCGCAGTAGCATTTATTTTTTGAGTGGTGATGGAAAAAATAAGAGGATGTGCATATCTCAGTTCGAACAAAAATTTGTTTGCCCTCATAGGCGATCAAATCTTCAAAACCCAATTGGCCCCATTGAGCCTCTTGGGCTATTGACTCCATTTTCAACTTACCTGGAGCAGCGGTATCGGTCATATAGATGAAAGATGAATCGCACGTGCCTTGGACGGACTCATCTACGACCAAATTAGTGAGAAGTGAAGATGGCCTCAGCACTCCATTCGGAAATATCACTGTGCGAACAATTTGATCGGTGAGTGTATCAATGACCACCAACTTTGGTTGACAGATCCTTGTGAATTCATCCAACGAGTCCATCACTCCTGAGTCCAGAGCCTAAAAAGGTGATGATTCAACACGTTTTTCATTTCATTCAATTAAACATTGTGGCTTTACGAATGAGCAACTATTACCGAGACTTGAAAGTCGCTGTCAGGAGTCTGAGATATTCCGATATGTATCAAAGAAAATGTTCACTAATTTTACGAAATATGAATATGGATAGAGTAGGGATCATTGATATAGTGATAACAATATTTATTCGACAAAGTACAAAATTGTCTAAGCGTGGGCAAACAAATATGAAAAATCTACAGAAGACATCGCCAGTGTGTGGATTATATCTGACTATCTAACAAAAATATATGTATAAAAATATAGTTAATTCTAAAAAGTATTTATATCATTTTGCAGTTTTAGTTTCCTATATAATTATGTCTTTTAATTTTCATCTTTTTTTTTTAAGGTGTCTTTATTTAGTTTGGTACTACATTGTACAGGGTGGGGCAGAAAGTCCTCTCCGATGTGGAAACCGTCTAGCTACGCCAATGGGGGGGGGGGGGGGTATATATCATTATATCATTCGATGTGTCTATTCCTGCCATTTTTAGTTTAATCATGTGCCTTTCTCATTCACTTTGATCCCATGTGATTTTTTTCTTTGGGGCTACCTGAAGGAAAAAGTGTACCAACATCGCCCTCAAATTCTAGACACTCTCAAGGAGACGATAATATAGGGAATTGCTGCCATTCCGCCTGACATGATCAGCCGAGTGATCGAAAATAATCAGGAGAGGCTCACTCAGCATATCAACAATGGGGGCGCGCACTTGAGTCATTTGCAAAATGCATTGACTCAAAATGGCATTATACAGGGTGCGGCAGAGAGGATGGACAGTTTTAAAAAAATCATAAAATAGTTAATTTTTACTCGAAAACAAATTTATTGATGGAATCAGGTTCACATGGAAATAGCATTTGAAACAGTCAAGTGTGGAAAATCACATCAGGCATGTGGTGGCCGAAATCGTTGACACAGTGCTGGCCGAAATCGTTGATGCAGTGCCGGAGGCGTTCTTGGAAGTTCGCGTAAACTCTCGCCAACATCGCTCTCTCAACTTAGGCGACTTCCACGCGAATTTCGCCCTTCAATTCGTCCAGAGTTCGCGTATACTCTAGCCTTGAGGTGTCGCCATAAGAAAAAATCGCATATGGATAAATCTGGGGACCGAGGAGGCCAATGAACATCGCCAAACCTGGAAATAAGGCGACCAGGGATGCTCGGGCTGTGTGGGCGGTCGCTCCATCCTGCTGGAACCACACACGTCGGATTGGAACACGTCGCCGTCGTGATTCAGGGAGAAAGAAGTTGGTGATCATGTCGATGTAGCACTCTGAGTTCACCGTAACATCACGACCATTACCGTCTTCGAAGAAGTAAGGGCCAATGATGCAAGTTACTTTTGGACTGTGCAGCTGTCTTTCGTGTAACTGTTGCGGATTTTCATTAGCCCAATAACGACAATTCTGCTGGTTAACCATACTGTTTAGGTGAAAGTGGGCTTCGTCACTCAAAAACAAAATGAGGTTCTCATTTTGATGGATCAGTGCTTCCATCTCACGTGCGAAGTTCATTCGTTGTGCATAATCTCCGGGCTGTAACTGTTGCACAATGGCCAATTTGTAGGGGTGAAAGCGGAGATCCATATGCAAAATTTAATATAAAATATAATTTCTATGATTTTGTGTTTACAACATGGCATAACATGGTGCCATATGCTGTAGTGGTAGCTGCTAAAATAAAAGTGGGACATATCCGTTCAGAAAAAAGTAAACGCACATGTACGGCAGATTAATTAATTAGTCAGGCCTATTCAAAAGAACTCGAATGGAATCGAATTTTATCTAGGTAGGTTCAGTGATGTGTGATACATAATCCTGTAAACTGAGAACCAAATTTTTATGACGGCTAGAATTTAAAGTACCTATGTAAAGACACACAAGTTGGAAAGAGATATGAGCCAGCTTGATAGGGAAGCTCATCACCGTGTTGCCTAGCAACGTTGGCGGGGCAATCTGCCGCGTTGCCAATATATTACACCAGTTTCTTGAATCAAAATGCATATTGAAAATCTGCGATAGTTCTTCTTTAGGCCCAAATAATGGTTTTATTTTGAGCGTACACATTTTTGGATTCTGAATTGTGACGAATCTGTTTAGGATCGTCACAAATTCTGTAACATTGCATCATTGGTTCGTGTGATAACACCGCGTTTTGTAGATACATTCCGATTTCCACCTCCATGATGATGGCTGAGCGATTTTGGTCAGTACCCATCTGGCGATCGTAAAGGAGTGTCGTCCTGCTTCGAAATTGCTATGAGCTGCGTACATACAGGTAACGTAACGTTATTTGTTACATTTTTCGAGCATAGCGCTGTCGCAAAATGTAATAATAACTCATGATGTGTTAATTTTTTCTCCATCGGTGCAAATCAAAGATAATTCCAAATTAAATTAAAATACTAAGTCGCTTAAAAAATGCAATAAACAATTCTGACCAAAATGGAAACAAAACATCAAATTAAATACTCGAACAGACCTCCTTCTTGGATTTATTTATTTATTTATTTATTTATTTCCAACAGGTGAAACCCAATTACAGGAAACGCTGAAAAAAATAACAATTAAAGAGACATGGTTCTTGGACTTAAATCTTTAGTATCCCACATTCTAAATAAGATTGGATGATCTATAGCAGTTAATAATCGATGCACAACTGTCATTGTAAATATCACACGATTCAGTAACACTGTTCATGAGGCAGCACATGAGATTAATTGGCGATTTTGTCATAACATTTGTACGGCCACTTTGATAATAGAATGCCGTTTGTTGTCGACTCCCTAGCCCTGGAACGCGGAAACATATTTTTTCAAGTAAATTTTGACAGTCAATTTTATTGTGAATGAGGCCATACAAAAACGACAAAGCAAATATGTTTCGTCTTGTTGACAGTGAATCCAAATTGAAAAACTCTAATAGGGCACTATGGTCACAACCTCTCTCTGGATAAGAACCTGTGCATTTAAGGTGAAAATACTTTAAAGCTTTACGTTGAATGGCCTCAAGGATCAAGACAGAATTTTGGTATATAGGAGACCAGATCAGAGTCGCATACTCCAACTTGCTCCTGACAAAAGTAAAAAATAAAGTCACTAATGTATCAACATTGGAGAAACCCTTCCAGTTTCTGATACAGAAATCAAGTAGTCGAGTGGCAGCCGACGAGATATTGAGAATATGCTCAGTAAACGTTAGCTTGGTATCAAAAATGACTCCAAGGTCTCTATAAGAGGTGCATCTGTCTATAACCTGACCATTGATATTATAATTATCATAAATTAAATAGTTAACTTTTCTTGTATAAGTCATAACTTTACATTTCGAAACATTCAGACTGAGACAGTTTCGTGAACACCATGACGAAATTAGAGCTAAGTCATCTTGCAGCATGACGCAATCCTCGACTGTCTTGACTGACGTGCAGATTTTAAGGTTATCAGCGAAAAACAAATGGAAACACTTCAGTTCAAAAGACAAGTCATTAATAAATATTAAAACAATAATGGGCCTAGATTTGACCCTTGAGGTACCCCAGACGTGGCCCGATAGTAACTCGACCTATTACCACCATATTCGACAAATAACCTTCTATCTCTCAAATACGAATTCATGAATGACAGCATTGCATCAGACATACCCACTGTTTTAAGCTTATCCAGAAGTGCATAATGATCAACTTGATCAAACGCCTTCTGAATATCTGTGTAGATGACATCAACTTGTCCCTGACCGTCCAGTACTTCAGAAATGTACTGAGTAATTAGAGCCAAGTTGGTGACCTTAGATCTGCCTCTCATAAACCCATGCTGATTAATAGAGGCTGCACCCCTGACCGAGCAGTAAACCGTTTCATAAGCAATGATCTCAAACAACTTGCTGAAATTGTACAGGATTGCTATTTGGCGATAGTTGGAAATATCAGAGATATCCCCACTTTTGTGAATAGGACATATTTTAGAGGTCTTCCCGATATTTGGATATGTCTCTGATTTTAGAATTAGGTTGAATATGGAAGCCTGCGGTTTCGCTAGTATATGAATGCAATCTTTTATGAAAAAACTTGGAATACCATCACATCCAGACGTCATTTTGTTCTTTAATCTTTTCGAAGCCCTAATTACGTTTTCTTCACTTATCACTTCAAAGATGTTATTGATAACTGAATACAAGGCGGTACAAGCGACATCAACATTAACTGCACTGATCACCTCCGTCCAATTAACATCTTGCAAGGCTGTGTACATTTCAGGAAAATTAGCTTTGCGAAAGTTAAACCGTGGAGAATTAGCAAATGGGAATTTCGTTGGAGATCCGGATGTAATGAATTCCATGATCAGTGCAGGTGACGGTAACCTAACCGAACATTTTCTGGTAGATTGCGCGACTTACTGCGTCACCGTTGCTCGGCAATGTGGTTATGACCTTTGCTCTTCAGCCGGCTTCTATCTCTTTCTAACGAGTATTGATCCATACTTTTCGCGCTTTTCTCTCGTACACATTAAACTCAAGCCGCCAGGTAAATTTGGTTTTCCCTGTATATCTCGGTTTCAATGGCAAATGTATGGAAAATGGACTATCATGTCTAACAACTGTGCAGCATTTTTACCGGCATTAGAAACTTCTTAATAATCAATCGTATTTTAGTGATACCAAAGATGCAGAACATTTAAAATAAATTACAAATAAATTTTGGGAACGATTAGGCGTCTCTAAAACGTTGAAACCCAGATTTTCGATTAACGTTTTCCCCGTATGTTGCCCATAACTTTGCTGTCGATGGATCAATTTATAAAACGCAAAAGCTTTTTCGTCCTTGCGATAGTAGTAACGTTGAATCAAAACCTCTAGCTGACAGACAGACAGATCGATGGAAATAAGTTTTAAAATATTTGTATACATCATACATAACATTGTACCTAATTAGCTCAATCATATCTGTATTGTTTTTCTCAACGCGTGAGCTTCTAAAGTGGCGTTTTGATTCAATTATAATAATTTTCCTATCACTTAGCAACTAACAACCGTATTATGAGTAAATCCAGATAATTATGGGACGTTACTACATTAAATGTGAGACATTATCTTGGTTTACACTATTATTTGATAAGTAGTAGCCATTTTCGTTGGACTGCCATGTCACGCTATAAGATATTTATCTTAAGAACGAGCTGTAATTCAAGAAAGATAGGAAGCTGAGAAGTAATGATGAAGTAGCCATTGGTGCACTAAATTATAGTTAAATTAGACATGTTTGACGTTTTCTTTTAAAAACAGAAAAGGAAGAATAATCTAAATTTTATCTTCGTGTTGACTCGCTAAAGCAGAGGACTCTGCTGCATCAGTGCTTCTGAGAACGAGTTAACTTTAGTCAATTGTGAAGAGCGAGGGTGCTTCTGAGACGAAAGTTACCTGTTTCCATCCCCCGTAGGTCCCCAGGGCTCATAAGCAAGGGGGCTTTATCGTTTACACGGGAGGGTTTAGACACTCTAAAGGATATGAGTTATCAACTAAAAATTTATCATTATAAAAATTGCGATTTCATTGTCTGGTTTTAACGAAAGTCCGACAATGACTAGTGCTCTGCAGATGTGCTCAAATGATGTTAGAATCGAATCAGTCTTTCCAGAGGATTCTATTAATATACTAAGTGACATATAAATCCGAACACCCAGTTTAAATGGTTTTATTTTAATAAAAGTTGGTGAATGTATTTATCTTACTGTAAATAACAAGTGAAAAAATTTTCAGCCTTGTCAGTTGGACATTCCGGTTTTTATACTGCTTTTTTTTAATTCACTAACGCTCTAAAAATGAATATTTCAGCCGCAGTAAAGAATCAACGTTGGTGGATTTTGGTTTTTGACATCCTTTACGATCGGTTACGATGCCTAGAGTACGGAGACCTGTACGATTTCGTCAACTTAGTGAGTTTGATAGGTGCCGTGTACTGGGACTTCGGGAAGCTGGACTTTCTTTTCGGGCTAGACACTGTGATTAGGTGTTGTCAGGCATGGCTTCGAGAAGGCCGTACGCAAAGAGCAAGGGGCACTGGACGCCGCCGTAGAACAACAGACCGTGAAGATCGCCGCCTAAGATTATTGGCCTTAAGAGACCGTTTCTCCACTACCAGGTCCATTGCAAATGAATGGTTTGCAGAACACGGAAGACCTATTGGCATGCGAAGTGTTTACCGACGAATGAGAAGTTTTGGCTTGTTTTCATACCGGCCACACTGGGTCCTCCCTTTAACTCGAGAACACCGACGTAATCGCCTTGAGTGGTGCAGACAACGGTCACTCTGGGATCAGGAATGTCTTTAGTGACGAGTCTCGATTTTGTTTAGGCATGCACGATGGTCGTGCCAGGGTTAGAAGGCGACGTGGTGAAAGGAGGAATCCACAGTTTTTTGTTGAAAGACATCTTCATCACACTGTTGGAGTTATGGTTTGGGGTGCTATAGCTTATGGTTCCAGGTCACCTTTGATCCTCATCAGAGGTAACATGAACGCGCAGCGTTATATCCACGAAGTTCTAGAACCCCATCTTTTACCCTATCTTGACACCCTGGCAGATCCAACTTTCCAACAAGATAATGCCCGACCACATGTTGCAAGAGTCACAATAGACTTCTTTCAACATAATGATGTCACATTGTTACCATGGCCACCAAGATCTCCCGACTTATCCCCAATTAAGCACGTGTGGGATATGATGGGTAGGAGATTGCTCAATTTGCAACGTCCTCCTCAGACTCTAGAAGCACTTCGAGAGGAGTTGGTAGTTGCCTGGAATGAGATACCACAGGAGGATATTGACCACCTGATCAGAAGCATGCCTAGGCGCGTTGGAGAATGCGTAGCACATCAGGGTGCATCCACACATTATTAAAGGTCAAAGGGCAGTGCAATCATTTTGAAATTTTTATCATTTACTTACTATGCTTCATTAAGTACTTATACAAAATTTTATTAAAATAAAACCGTTTAAACTGGGTGTTCGGATTTATATGTCACTTAGTATAATTTTTTAAAGCGAAATATTTTATATCATAACATAGGGTTTTATTTTTAAATTATTGAGACATTGGACAGCCTATCGAAAAAAACACTCAACTAGAACAAATAGCACCTCCGCCACTGTTTCAGCTGAGATACTGAGTTTTTTCTCAGAAGAATTTTATGGCCCAGCATTCAATCCCTATCTACTTACTTTATCAGTTATTTTGATAGTTTGTACAGGGTGGTAAAGAACGCGAAATGAACGATTTACCAAAAATTTAAAATGTATGTTTTCAAACTCTTTGATTCTCTCTACGCAAGCTTTTTTTGATATCGGATTTATGGGGGCTTGTACAAGTTTTTGAGTTACAACTAACCTTATTATCAATCACATATCAAGGTACACAGAAAATATTACATTATCTTCTAAAATAAAAAATATCATTATGCATCAAAGTTGGAAGGTCATGAACGGGCACTGCATTTTAGTAACTAACTCAGAAACCAGTTGTACAAGCCCCGTAAACCCTATACCAGAAAAAAGCTTGTGGAGAGGTGAATCAAAAAGTGTAAAAATATAGAGATTGTACCATTTGGAAACCTTGAGAAATCATTCATTTTACTTTCTTTGTCTACCCTGCATAGATTATCCAAAAACTCTAGCTATGTTAGTTGCGGAGGTGAGCCTTGTCCAAGTTCACTATTCTTTTCTATAGATTGTCCAATTTTTCAATAATTTGCAAATCAAGCTCTATAGTATGTTTTATCAAATTGCTGCGTTTGAAAGAGCCTATCCGATTCTGCCACAAAATGTTACGCTTTCAAATTCAAAGAAATAATTTCCGGACACCACGTAGTTTGAATAACCCTGAAGAATTGAACATAGTTTCCAAGTCAGCCCAACTAACAATTATCACTCCTATTAGAGTTGCAAGAATGATTATACAGTATTCCTTACACAGCATTGTATACTGTAAGAACATTGGCAAAACCCTCTTAGAACAGCTATACAAGCGGAATGGGCACACCTAATAGGACACTTCAGTCATTTAAGAGGTTGTATAAGGGCTGCAGGTAACAGTTATACAACAAAAGTGTAAGCCTCTTGCAGCCGCTATAGGACATTTGCGTCAGTGCAAGATTCAGTTTTTGTCAACTATACAACTATTCTGTTACGTGATTATACTTTAATGCAACCAAACTATTTCTTATGTATTGTATAGACGAAGTGAATAATATATAACTAACACAATACAGTCATCTTGTTTACTTACATATCGGCCATTGTGAATTTCATACACAGGTATATAATAAACTTCTACACTATGATGTAGGGCTATTGAATTACTTGCGCAACAAATTTTATTGTGATAATCGTGCAAAGTAGTTACGCAATTTCTACGGGCTTCGTATTTGATTCATATTTTGATAATGATCAAAAGTATGTCTAGATTTTTAAGATGGAAAACTGAACTTATCTGCGTTAAATCTTCCACAAATCCTATATTTAGACACAATTGCACTAATGTTTATCACTTTATATCTGTAATTTCGAACTGAAACATAATTATTTAATATCAAATAGAGGAATAAATGTTTGCCCAATATGGCGGGTGGTTGTGTATAATCATGGCATCGTCCATGTGTTGTCTTTAGTTTATTAGAATATTTTGGTGTTGCCTGCAGGTGTTATACAACAATTTGACAAATGGCTGAAATTAAATACCGACAGAGTCGAATGATTTACCTAGAATTTGTACCAGATCTACATCTTCTGTTTGAACAGTTGATAAAACCTTTTTAACCTATATGCATGCGTTGTTTGTCTTAAAACATTGGTTATGGCATTTTAACTAAAATGACAGCAGGAAGTTAGGTTATGGTGAAGTTGTATACCTACATATTTAGCAGTTACTAAACAACAGTTGTGTTTTATAAACGTTACCATGGATGCCACAACACAACCATTTTGACTAACCTGCAAATATGTCGTATAAAATAGTTGTATAAACGTTTATGCATCAGTTAAAAATTTGTCCTATAAGGTGTTGTGCAACTATGCTATAAGAATATTTTAAACACCTCATTTTAGAGCAAATATGTTGCAGATAGCAAATTTGCATTCCACACAACATTAAGCCAGCATTTTGGTGTTCAGGCAACAACAATAGAGAGCTTTTATGGCTGAACGGTTCTTTTACCAAAAGCTTATAGCACTACTTTGCTGATTGGGAGTAGCATACAGTTTTCTACAATTTTATCGATGTCCAAAAACCATCCGACACCTACCCATAGCCTATGGCAGGAATCCATCTTCATCCTATATACCGATATCAACTGCGAGCAGTTGACGTTGCCCCGCATTGGCCCATGCAACTGCCAGCTGGGATAAGCTGACAAGGTGGGTCCTGAACCAGGAGGCACATGTCTGGGAATGGTAGACAAGGTGGCTGGAACGCCTGCACGGAGTCTGGGGGTGGCTATGAAGATGCGGTCGTCTGATATCTCCAGACCGGTGAAGACTGTGTTGTCTAACCTGAAATAGTTACAAGCATGAATGGAAAGTTTTGAAAGCCCCCGAACTCAAACGTCTGAATACAAGTTTACGAAATTTTAATTTGACCTGTTTACTAATGTGGGACCAATATTTGATCTTATTTTTGAAGCCGAAATTGTGTACATACGTTTTGCTTGTATGACAATATAAAATAAATGTGAGTATTGAATCCAATACATCGGAAGTTACAAAATGCCAATTTATAATTTCCATACTCAACCCTATGATATGAATATCAAATAAAAGGGATTGATGAGAGAAACAGAATAAGCAAAGTGACGTCATTCTTAGTCCAATAAGGTGACTGCCGCAATGAGGCGATTTATAATTTCCATACTCACCCCAATATTATCGGTATCAAATGAAAGGGCTTGATGATGATTATATAATTTATATTTACCTATCGTAATTTTATAACACAAATAAAGGTAAGTAATTTTATGCTGTTGATAACTTTAACTGAAAATTGAAAAAAATATTTCCGATTGGTAATATTTAAACTACGAAAAAGAATGTGATACGAGGGACGTCTTTTATGTTTTGCATATGGAAATAAAACAACACGGTAGGTAGTTTTAAATGACTTTATTGTTTGTCGAAGTATTCTCCACGAAGATTAATACACATCCGCTTGCGCTCGAACCAATTTTCGAAGTACTTATTCCACTCGTTTGCTGGCAGATTCAAAACGGCATTTTGAATGCGTCAACTGCTTCGTCTGGTGACTGGAACCTTTGACGACGCAGTCTGTTTTTAATTTTCGGGAAAGTAAAGAAATCGTTAGAACTTAGATCGGGACTATCAATCAATCAATTCTTTATTCATGTCACAATACATAAAATATGTTTACATACGTCAGTAGATCAAATGAGAATTGCATTAGAATTAAAACAAGGGAGTGCTAATGATCATAAAAAATTACAAACAAGTACACCAGCACTCATAAAGATATAGCGCTAACATGACATAATTAAGATTTATAGTTAAAATTTATGTCTTAAAAACTCTTCAAACGTGTAAAATGAGTTATTAATAAGAATTTTCTTGATTTGAACTTTAAAATCTTTAAACGGAAGCGATTTTAAGCCGTCTGGAAGTACATTAAAAAATTTGACCGCCCAATAACCAGGTCCATCTTGACACCTTCTCAGTCGCCAATAAGGAGGTACTAGATTGTTCTTATGCCTAGTATTGTGCTCATGGACGTCCCCATGAGTTACATAGTTAGAGTTTCTTTTAACGAATAGTAGATTTTCAAAAATATATAAACAAGGCACTGTAAGGATTTAAAACTGGACAAAGGTATCTCTGCAATCGTCCCTGTAGCCCAGACGGCTCACAACCCTAACTGCTCTTCTTTGCAAGGCGAACAGTCTATGGACCCTTGAAGAATGCCCCCAAGCCATTATTGCGTAGGATATATGTGAATGGCAAATGGCAAAGTAAGAGATTCTCAATATTTCTACAGAAACACAAGAAGACAAACTTCGTAGCACATATATACCTTTGGTGACCTTTCCAGCAACACTGTCAATGTGAAGGCCCCATTGCAATCTTGGATCCAAAGTAACCCCCAGAAACTTGGCTTCACCAACCAAATCACTGTCTCCAGGCAGGCTTCGCATGGAGAACACCATTCTCTTTGTCTTATCTTTATTTAGCAACAGCTTATTGGAGCAAAACCACAGCTCAGCCTCATCCTGCGCAGCCAGAAACTGTGCCATTGAGCGCTCAAAACTATTAGCGGTGTGAGAGACGGTCGTATCATCCGCGAAGAGAGTAAAGTTTGCCATATTGTTATTGAGAGGTAAATTAAAAAAAGAATTGGGCCCAAGATGGAGCCCTGTGGGACGCCAATATTAACACTTCGCTCCGCTGATGTCACTCCATCACATCTCACCACCTGAGTTCTATTACTAAGGTAAGACTCAATTAGTTTAATGGAATCATAACTAAAGTTGTAAGCAAGGAGCTTTTTTAAAAGGATGTCATGGCTTACACAATCAAATGCCTTACTAAGATCGCAGAAAAGAACCGTGTTATACCCTCCTCCATGGAAAGCATCAATTATAGAAGAAATCAGGTTAAGTACACCCATAACAGTGCTCTTACCCTGGCGAAAACCAAACTGATATTGTGAAAACAATTCATTTGCCTCAAAAAAGGTTACCAGTCTCAAAGCCATACATTTTTCAAAGATCTTAGAGATAACTGGAAGAAGGGATATAGGTCTGTAGTTCTCTGGTGAATCAACATTGCCGTTCTTAAAAATAAGTGTGACACTAGCTCTCTTTAGAACAGTTGGAAAAATATTTTATCTAAGACAAATATTAATCAGTCGTGTTAGAGGGATCAAAATTATGTTCTTTATACATTTTACAATTTTTAAATTGAAACCAAAAATATCTTTACTGTTTTTATTTTTGAGATTATCTATTACATCGCGAACCTCGTTAATATATGGAGGATGGTCCAATAATTCCACTTTTTCTTTCGTTAAATACTGCCTGGTTTTTTGGGCTGTGTGCGAGCTTGCATTGTCTTGGTGGAGGATGATTCTTCTTTCGGGGTTGATTTTTCGAAGCTCGTTGATGACTTTTGGCAAACAAATGGTGGTATACTAATCCATAGTAACAGTTCTTTGTTCATTAAGAGGAATTGTTGCAATATGACCTTCTTTTGACACAAATATCGCGACCATCATTTTCGAAGCACTTCGAGAACGGATGACCTTTGTTGGCTTTTCTTCACCTTGGGACACTCGAACAGCCGACTGTTGTTTAGTTTCTGGTTCATAACAGTAAATCCACGATTCATCACCACTAACAATGCTGTACACATTCTTTGAGTTTCCAGAATTGAAACGGTCAAGCGTTCTTTGATACCAATTAACCCTGGCTGCTTTCTGCTCTTCAGTCAACAGGTGTGGTATCCAACGAGAAATTAATTTTCTTATTCCTAATTCTTCATGTACATTTTTTTGAATTGAGGTCTTTGAGATCTTCATGGACGCCTCAATCTCGCGATATGTCACATGTCTATCTTCAATGATGCGTTTGCGCACAGCATCGACGTTTGCCTGGGTGACTGCCGTTTTTGGTGCACCCACCCTGGAATCGTTGCTAAGACTCATCCGTCCATGTTTGAATTCTCCACACCAACGGAAACTTGTCGACTGATGTGGCGCTTCGTTGCCAAAAACAAACAGTAACTCAGCAAGGCATTCTTGTTGCGATAATTGTCTCTGAAGGTTGTAATAAATTATGGCGCGAAATTGTTCTCGGTTAAGTTCCATTTTTCTAATGACTTGGTGACACTTAAAAATGCACTGTAGTGAGAACACTGCACGTATTGTTGTGAAACTTTGAATTTAAGTTTACTAAAGAGTGAGCTTAAGATTCAGTACTGACGTTCGATCCGCGCGGCCTACTTGGGTACTATGTTTCTATATGCAAAACTTGACAGACATCCCTCGTACTTGATTTGAAAATTCCAGCTAGATAACAACTTCCTTTTAAAAATGTATTTTATTTGTTTTATATATCTTGCATTGTAAGGGACATTTTAAAGAATAAAAGAAAAATTAAAACTGGTTCAGTACTTGGGTGATACGATATACGAGCTATTTATCTCTTTTGTGGTCAGAGGTAGAAAGACATCTTATAAATTCGATAGTAAAAGATTCATAGTCTGTTCTTAAGTTCCCGAAACAATATTTTATAAACGCTATCAGAGAAAGTTACTCAGCAAAAGGAATTCTCGAAGGGACCCACAGCTCGCAAAAAGTTCCAAACGCTGATATTAATCGAGCAGTTATTACAATCCAATAATTCTGCAACAGATGGCAATATAACTACGTTGAAGTTCCTATATCTCATGAGCTATTTTTCTATCTGTGTACCTTGGACATGTCTGCATCCATGGTGAGTTCTAAATTAGTCTTCAACATTGCAAAGTTGAAAACAAAACAATCTTTGATAGCAAGTAACAAAATACGGAATTGTTTTGACAGAACCTGCCTGTTTCATTGCACCTAAGTCTTACCTTATTTCTGATGCGTATGTAAAATGATATGGAAGATCGAAGCTCAGGTAATTCCACTGGTTCACGACATCAAGGTGCACCGTGGCTGAAGAGAGCGTCCAAAGACTAACTTGGGATATCCAAAGCAGGATCCACATTTTAATCGCTAGTATCTGTAACAAAAATTACACATTTTAGGGCTCCTCGTTTTACCATTTTAGTAGCGTCGTTTCTAACAGCGCATATATTTTTTTTTTGAGATCTTTTAGATTGAAGTCTATCAAACAACAAATTGTTTGTAGTGTCGCCTGAGTATGGAATTTCAGAGAAGTCTTTGGATTTTATCCAGTGATGGCAAAAAAATCATACAAAATATTTCCACTGTGTGTAAGATGTCAAATATCTAAATTATTATATCATAGTCGTTCAAATATAATCTATACTAAGTGACATATAAATCCGAACACCCAGTTTAAATGGTTTTATTTTAATAAAAGTTGGTGAATGTATTTATCTTACTGTAAATAACTAGTGAAAAAATTTTCAGCCTTATCAGTTGGACATTTCGGTTTTTATACTGCTTTTTTTTAATTCACTAACGCTCTAAAAATGAATATTTCAGCCGCAGTAAAGAATCAACGTTGGCGGATTTTGGTTCTTGACATCCTTTACGATCGGTTACGATGCCTAGAGTACGGAGACCTGTACGATTTCGTCAACTTAGTGAGTTTGATAGGGGCCGTACAGTGGGACTTCGGGAAGCTGGACTTTCTTTTCGGGCAATTGCAGTTAGAGTGCAAAGAAGTGTAGACACTGTGGTTAGGTGTTGTCAGGCATGGCTTCGAGAAGGCCGTACGCAAAGAGCAAGGGGCAGTGGACGCCGCCGTAGAACAACAGACCGTGAAGATCGCCGCCTAAGATTATTGGCCTTAAGGGACCGTTTCTCCACTAACAGGTCCATTGCAAATGAATGGTTTGCAGAACACGGAAGACCTATTGGCATACGAAGTGTTTACCGACGAATGAGAAGTTTTGGCTTGTTTTCATACCGGCCACACTGGGTCCTCCCTTTAACTCGAGAACACCGACGTAATCGCCTTGAGTGGTGCAGACAACGGTCACTCTGGGATCAGGAATGGAACAGTATTGTCTTTAGTGACGAGTCTTGATTTTGTTTAGGCATGCACGATGGTCGTGCCAGGGTTAGAAGGCGACGTGGTGAAAGGAGGAATCCACAGTTTTTTGTTGAAAGACATGTTCATCACACTGTTGGAGTTATGGTTTGGGGCGCTATAGCCTATGGTTCCAGGTCACCTTTAATCTTCATCAGAGGTAACATGAACGCGCAGCGTTATATCCACGAAGTTCTAGAACCCCATCTTTTACCCTATCTTGACACCCTGGCAGATCCAGCTTTCCAACAAGATAATGCCCGACCACATGTTGCAGGAGTCACAATAGACTTCTTTCAACATAATGATGTCACATTGTTACTATGACCACCAAGATCTCCCGACTTATCCCCAATTGAGCACGTGTGGGATATGATGAGTAGGAGATTGCTCAATTTGCAACGTCCTCCTCAGACTCTAGAAGCACTTCGAGAGGAGTTGGTGGTTGCCTGGAATGAGATACCACAGGAGGACATTGACCACCTGATCAGAAGCATGCCTAGGCGCGTTGGAGGATGCGTAGCACATCAGGGTGCATCCACACAATATTAAAGGTCAAAAGGATTTAAAGCAGTGCAATCATTTTGAAATTTTTATCATTTACTTACTATGCTTCATAAAGTACTTATACAAAATTTTATTAAAATAAAACCATTTAAACTGGGTGTTCGGATTTATATGTCACTTAGTATATTTTACAGATGACAGCTCCAGGCAACTAGCAATACAGGCTGTCGATATAATTGGTTGTATAATAAGCAACTGTGCTGTGCAGGCGGTACTAATAGTTTATTGCAAATTATCGGAATGTGCTTCTGAAGACATGTTATAATTATTAGGTATATTAATAACTTATACAAGCGGGCAAATATTCAGGTTACAGTTGAATCGGAAATATGCTTTTAACCGAGTTCGAGAGATAAAAAGAAACTTGGAACTGCTAAATTAAAAAAAAAAAACGAATGCAGTACTCTGAATCACCATTTAAACATTATGCAGCTGTTATAAATTCGAATTTACGCTGGACTTCCCATCTATTTCCCCAAAAAGAAGCCCTACAAAGTATTAGATATTATTTTAAAATTGACATCTTTTCTGCTACTCTTTGTTCCTTCAAGTCAGAATATAAAATATCCAAATTCATTCCATTTTTTTGATTTTCGAAGTAGAACTGTGTTTGATGGAATAAAAAAAATAATAAGCAGAATCCTGGTGTTTCCATTTAGTAGGCCTAGTACACGGCGACATTGTGGTTAGGCCTGAGAGCAGAATCCTGTGACATACCGTTAGGAAGAGCATATTAAGGGCGGGGTGAGCAGTACTCGAGACAATGATTAGGAATATATTGTTCAGTGAAAAGAGCAATATAGTCCAGTGAAAAGAACTATATAGTTATAGCAGAAGGTTCATAGGAAAAGTTCGCGCTGGGCAAGATAATTTTAAACGCAGCTCCTCTTGCTAACATGATTCGGTTAACAAAGGACCATCGCTTCACTGCTCAAAATAATTTTGGCAAAAGCTATCGGGCGCATTTACTGTTTCTATTTTGAAAAACGCTCAGGCCCGTCGATTTTGTTTTCGAGGGGGACACAAGTTTGACAAAAAATAACGTTAGCACGTGCAGCCCCCTAAGCGGGGGTGACACCACCCCTAAAATCTAAAATGGAAACGGGGGTCGAATGATACCTTATTCTAAAGGTCTTTCAATTCCCTTTATAATGATATAAAATTAACGTACTTCAGTTCAGTAGTTTTGAAGATTTATTGATTTAAAGCTTAAATAAAACTAATACATTATCATTAGTGGAGATCAATACATTTGGCAGCAAAGTAATTTAAAAATGAAGAATGAACTGACCCTTTAGGCAAGTAAATGTTGAAAATGGCCACCATGACTCTCCATGCAATAATAAAGATTTTGCTCAACACGTTGCTGCACAGTTTGCAATATTTGAGGAGTAATTTGAAGGCACTCATTCACAATTCTTTGTCACAGGTCTTCTAATGATGTTGGCTGAGTAGCATAGATTTTGCTTTTTAAATGACCCCACATAAAGAAATCCAAAGTTGATAAATTTGGCGATCTTGAGGGCCATTCAATGGCTCCTCTTCTACCAAGCCATCGATCTGGAAACGTCTGATCTAAATATTGTCGAACACGTAATGCGTAATGTGGTAGGGCACCATCCTGTTGGAATATCAATCTATTCGCAATGTACCGCCGATTATTCTGATTTTCCATTATGGCTGTTAATGCAGGACCTATGGCGTCTTCCAGTAATTCCAAATACATTTCACCGGTCAAATTTCCAGGTAAGAAAAAAGGACCAACTAAATGATCGCCAAAAATACCAGCCCAAACATTTAATTTTTGTGGCTGCTGTGTATGAACCTCATGATAAATTCTGGGATTAGAATCGGACCAATATCGGCAGTTATGACGATTTACTACGCCATTTAAGAAAAAGGAACATTCTTCGGAAAAGCTGGTGTTGAATAGAAAATGTTTATCGTTTATAATTCGTTCACTCATATCTTCACAAAATTGTAATCGCCGATCAAAATCGTCTTCCTTATGTTCTTGTACCAGGTGAATTTTATACGGATGAAAACTATCGGCCTTTAGAATCCATTGGACAGTACGTCGACTAACACCACACACGGTCTCCAATTTGCGGGTACTTAACGTAGGATCTACATAAACTTGCCATAAAACCCCCACTTCTATTGCTTCGTGCCTTATGGGATTTTCAAAGTTGCGTTTTTTATTGGCGACTGACCCAGTTTCCCGAAATTTAGCTACAAGTTTTAGAACATATTTTCGATGCACGTTACAGTTCTCATGTCGCTCATTAAATATTTCTGTTGTTGTATTAGCGCACTGATTATTTCCGAAAAATATTTCGATAATTTCAACTCTTTCTGCGTTACAAGTTATTTTAGCAACAAAGTTTGGTCAAATAGATTGCAAACTATGTACTAAATTCGTATTTAAAATAAGTACGAGATATTTACTTATCTTGCTTCAAGAAATAACTTTTTTGACACAAAAAAACACTCCAATAGATATTTTCAAGAACAAAATGATAAACAAACCATGGCCGAAAAGCATTTCAAGTCAATTCTTTTAGTCAAATTTCTTCTGAAAGTATTACAAACTAATCTGACGTACCCGTTAAAGTCAATAAATCTTCAAAACTACTGAACTGAAGCTCATGTATTTTGCACCATTATAAAGGGAATTGAAAGACCTTTGAAGTAAGGTATCACTAGACTCCCCTTTCCATTTAAGATTTTAGGGTTGGTGTCACCCCCGCCCAGGGGGCTGCACGTGTTAACGTGATTTTTTGCCAAACTTGTGTCCCCCTCGAAAACAAAATCGACGGGTCTGAGCGTTTTTCCAAAAAAAACTGAGCTGACACGAGATGCGTCTGTTTCGTTTTCGATGCGCCACCCTGTATAACGGAGATCAATAAAAGATAAACTTAAAATGCTACGCCCTTGTCAAGTGGGTTGTCACACTGACAGTGACAATCATAGATTAGGAAAACTCACAAGTTGGCGAAAACATTTTTACGTCCGCGTACAGAGAAAAGTGAAAAGCCGTGAAATGAACTATATATACACACTTCAGAATTTCTCATAAGAAGGGCTAAAAGGTTAGGCAAAAAATGACAAAATCGTACGTTTTGCAGTAGCTTACATTACAGTGAGCAGGATTCCAATAATTTGGCAATTTGAGAGTAATATATGAAAATGGTTAGTGTAACGTCTGAAGCCTATCCTGTGGGTTATATCACGATGAGGAACTTATCCTGTGGCTTACATTTCAGTAATCCCCAATGCTTGCCTGGCCAGTAAAACCTCATGAATTGACAAAATCTTTACTGTAAACGGTTCGATAACTCACGAGTCGGAAGTGTCATCATGTGTAGGAATATACTAAGATGTATGTTGCTAGCTACTCTATTGAAGCTGGATAATGTAGTAAAAGTATTGCTTGTTATAGAAATAATAAATGTTTGAGCCAAAACGGATTTCTAGGAGACACCTGCATTGATATTGTGGGATGAAGAAG